ATGAATGGACAGCGAGGTGGATTGAAAACTGGTTGAAAGACAGAGCTCAGAGGGTCATGATTAGTGGCATAGAATCTAGTTGGAGGTCTGTAAGATGTGGTGTTCCCCAGCGGTCGGTACTGGGTCCAGTCACCTTCAATATATTCACCAATGACCTGGATGAAGGGATGGAATGTACCCTCAGCAAGGTTGCTAATGACGCAAAACTAGGGGGGGCTGACACACCAGAAGGCTGTGCCACCATCCAGAGAGACCTGGACAGGCTGGAGAGTTGGGCAGAGAGAACCTGATGAAATTCAACAAGGGCAATTTTAGGGTGCTGCACCTGGGGAGAAATAACCCCCTGCACCAGGACAGGTTGGGGGTGACCTGCTGGAGAGCAACTCTGAGGAGAAAGACCTGGGGGTCCTGGTGGACAACAGGATGCCCATGAGCCAGCAATGGGTCCTTGTGGCCAAGAAGGCCAATGGCATCCTGGGGTGCATCAGGAAGTGTGAGCAGCAGGTGGAGGGAGGTCATCCTGCCCCTCTGCTCTGCCCTGGGGAGGCCCCAGCTGGACCACTGGGACCAGTTCTGGGCTCCCCAGTTCCAGAAGGACAGGGAACTGCTGCAGAGGGGACAGCAGAGGGCTACAAAGATGATGAGGGGGCTGGAGCATCTCCCTTACGAGGGGAGGCTGAGGAACTTGGATCTTTTTAGTCTGGAGAAGAGAAGGCTGAGGGGGGATCTGATCAATGCTTATAAATACTTAAAAGGAGCGTGTCAGGAGGATGGGGCTGGTCTTTTTTCAGTGGTGCCCAGGGACAGGACAAGAGGAAATGGGCACCAACTTGACCATAAGAAGTTCCAACTAAACATGAGAAGGAACTTTCCTTTGAGGGTGGCAGAGCCCTGACAGAGGCTGCCCAGGGAGGTGGTGGAGTGTCCTTCTCTGGAGATGTTCAACTCCTGCCTGGACACGTTCCTGTGGGACCTGCTCTGGGTGGACCTGCTTTGGCAGGGGGTTGGACTAGATGAATCTCCAGAGGTTCTTCCAACCCCATATCATTCTGTGATTGTCTGATTATGTACTTTTGGACAAAAAACCCCAAACCATTTATGTGCAGACCCCAGCAACTGTTGAGTTTGGCCTCTGAGGTATGGAAATAGATAATCTGCTTGGAGGAAGGCCATTGAGGCTGCTCCTGAGCCTGTATTCTGTGTGCTGTCAGGAGGCTGAGGACAGCAGTATGCTGGGCAAGGTGGAGGCTGAACGTCACCAATCCAAGAGCAGCCAAAGTGGTCAGACTGTCTCCTGCCTTCAGACCTTTCCTATCACAAACCTGGCCTGCGAGTTTCTCCTCTCCCTGTTTCTGCCTTCCCCTCCATGCACCAGCCTCTTCCTCACGCCAAGCTGTGCCCAAATGAAATTCAACAAACCCTGTCCAAGTTGGAGACTAGTTTACACCAGCACTGAGCAGAAAACAACCTCCTGTTAAGAAATGACCCAAATTTGGGGATTTCAGAGAGCTGCTTAAATCCTCTTTACCTGCCCACGTGTTCTCATTCTTTATTTTTTTTTCCCCTCCTCTTTTGTAGAAATTGCTCCTCCTTCCTTGCCCTGTGTTAGTGGGGCAATTATACACCATATTCGAGGAGCTGTTTTTGCTCTGCAGCCCACAATGTCCAAAAGCCTTTCCATTGCCTCCCCCAAGTCTCAAAGGCAGCAGCGAGGGGAACGCAGCCAGATGAAGGTGCACCCCTGTGGCAAAGGCTGACCACAGATGACAGCCTCATATCAAGAGCCAGCTTGGAAAGAGAGAGGGACAAATGCCTGTCCCCGGGTCTCCTCCTATTCCCTGAGTGACATAGGGTACATGGGGAACGCACTCAAACCCTGGAGAGAAAGTGAGTCTACTGGAGCTGCACAGAAGGTATTAGCTCTTGGGCACTGCTGAAGATGCTCCGTCTTATTGCAGCAGCTTTTTCTTCTCCCCTTTAATCTGGGCCTCCAGCTATACGTGCCCTTCCTTAGCTGCTGATCACTTCAAGATGTGAGAAGCTGGTCTGGAGTGAAAGAGGTAGTGAGGGGGGAAATTCAATCTCTGTCACCAGGGCCTGAGAATATGCAGTGAATAAGCAGCTTTGCAAGTCAAACGAGTCTGGGAGTGATTTGTTCTTTTTTTTCACTGAACTTAAGAGGTTTTTTTCTTCTCAACTGGAAAATATTTCAGACTGGATTTTGTACGGTTCTTTTCTTTCTAACAGCCTGGGAAACCTTTCCTACATTGAGTCACATCAAGTCAGACTGCCTGCCGGTTCTCCAAATCCCAGTTCCTTCCCGTTTCGGATGGGGGAAACACTAATGGCCTCAATATGGCTTGATCTCAAACCTCTTCAAGCATGTCCAGCATTTGGGTCATGTTCTGGTCCAGGCAAATGAGGAAGACTGATGCTTTCAGCTCACCATGCCTGTCCTAGCATGTCTGGAAACCTCATGAGGTTCAACAAGGCCATGTGCAGGGTCCTGCACCTAGATCAGGGCAACCCCTGGTATCAATACAGGCTGGGGGATGAAGGGGTTGAGAACAGCCCTTGCCAAGAAGGACTTGGGGGCACTGGTGGATGAAAAGCTGGATGTGAGCCAGTGATGTGCACATGCAGCCCAGAAGGCCAAGCACATCCTGGGCTGCATCACCAGCAGTGTGGCCAGCAAGTCAAGGGAGGTGAGTCTGCCTCTCTACTTTGCTCTGGTGAGACCCCACCTGGAGTCCTGCATCCAGCTCTGGAGTCCTCAGCACAGGAAAGACATGGATCTTTTCAAGCTGGTCTAGAGGAGGGCCACAAAGATGCTCAGAGGGCTGGAGCACCTCTGCTGTGAGGACAGGCTGAGAGAGCTGGGGTTGTTCAGCCTGGAGAAGAGAAGGCTCTGGGGAGACCTTACAGTGGCCTTTCAGTACTTAAAGGGGGCTTATAAGAAAGATGGGGACAAACTTTTTAGCAGGGCCTGGGATAGAAGAATGGCTAGTGGCTTTAAACTAGAGATGGGAAGATTTAGACTAGATAGAAGGAATTTTTTTACAATAAGGGTGGTGAAAGAGTGGAACAGGTTTCCCAGGGAGGTGGTAGATGCCCCATCCCTGGAAACATTCAAGGTCAGGTCGGTCAGGGCTCTGAGCAACCTGATCTACTCCAAGATGTCCCTGCTCATTGCAGGGGGCGCTGGACTAGATGGCCTTCAAAGGGCCCTTCCAACCCAAACCATCCTATGATTCTATGAACGCCGGGTCCAGTGCCTTGTCCCCCAGGCAGCAGCAATGTCCCCACCTTCTCCGTGTGGGGCTCAGCAGCACGGGGAGGCTGGGAGGGAAGGACCTGTTCCTCAGAATATGCCAGCACAGCCCGAAACACCTTCACCTGTTCCTCAGAATATGCCAGCACAGCCCCGAAACACCTTCTGGAGATAGGATCATAGAATCATAGAATTTCCCAGGCCGGAAGGGACCTCCAAAGGTCATCTAGTCCGACCCCCCCGCAGTCAGCAGGGACACCCCCAACTAGACCAGGTTGCCCAGGGCCTCATCGAGCCTCTCCTTGAACATCTACAGGGATGGGGCCTCAACCACCTCCCTGGGCAACCTGTTCCAGTGCTCCACCACCCTCACAGTAAAGAACTTTTTCCTAATCTCCAATCTAAATCTGCCCTTTCCCAACTTAAAGCCATTGCCCCTCGTCCTGTCACTGCAGGCCTTTGTAAACAGCCTCCCTGTAGGCTCCCTTTAGGTACTGGAATCCTCTTCTCCAGGCTGAACAACCCCAGCTCCCTCAGCCTGTCCTCGTAGCAGAGGTGCTCCAACCTCCTGATCATCCTCGTGGCCCTCCTCTGGACCCTCTCCATCAGGTCCATGTCCTTCTTATACTGAGGGCTCCAGCCCTGCACACAATAAACCCAGTCCCGCACAAGCTGTCCGTCGGTGGGGAACTGGAAGACCAGCTCTTCTCCACAGATGCTCTTCACCCGGCATCTTACCGGGCCCTCACCCTTCCCCCCTGCCGGCCCGGCCGGGTGGGTTTTTTGGGGGGGGGGGAGCGAAACCCCGGAGCTCCGAGCAGCGTCCCCCGGTGCTGCCCCGTCTCCGCCCCACGCATCATCTAGTACTTATCTGTTACAAGAAAAAAAGATTCAAAGTGCACATTTGAAAACTCCTACAGTTTCACCACCACATTATTTTAACCTGCAATTCAAACAGCAGTAGCTAGATAACACTAGAAAACTAAGCAACCCGGTGCTGAGGCGGGGGTTGCTGCGGGGTTCGTGGGGGCGACAGCCATCCCGCCCAGCCCCGCAGGGAGGGGGTCCCGCCGTCCCGGGACACAGCTCTGCCCCTGGAGCCTGGCGGTGTCGGGGCCCCATGTGTCCCCCGTTTGCGCCGCCACAGGCGGGGACCGGGCGCCGGGACGGGTCAGCGCGTCCGGGGTTTGCCCCGTTAGCCGTGAGCCGGCCGCGGGGCTGGGGAATCATGGAAAAGACCCTTGGGATCATCGAGCCCAACCATCTACCCCACTCTACAAAGTCCTCCCCTACCCCATATCCCCCAACCCCACAGCTAAACGACCCTTAGACATCCAAGGATGGTGATGCAGCCCCCTCCCTGGGCAGCCTCTTCCAGTCTCTGGCCACTCTTTCCGTGAAAAACTTTCCAAATGTTCAGTTTAAACCTACCCTGGTGGAGCTTGAAGCCATCCAGCTCTTGTTCTAATCGCTAATTACCTGGGAGAAGAGACCAAGAAACGCTGTGGGTTGTGGCACCGGGACGCACTTCGCGGTGCTGTGGGTCTGCTGCTGGCTTTTCAGCTCCACGGGCTTGGTTCCCTGTAAAGAGGCAAAAAAAAGAAAAAAGAAAAAAGAAAAAAGAAAAAAGAAAAAAAAAAAAAGAAAAAAGCCCGTAAAAAAGAAAAAAAAAAAAAAAAAGGAAAAAGAAAGAAAAAAAAAAAGAAAAAGGAGGTTTTGGACTTAAAGCATGTCGTCCCAAGGCTGCCCGACGCTCGGTGAGAGGCTGTGAGCAGCATCCCCTGTGATGCTCAGGGATGCTGGGGGGTTCGGAGTCACCGGTTTAGCTGGGAAGGCAGGAATGTGAGTGTTTGCTTTGGGCAGGGTGGAGTTAAAAGCTTGGCTCTGGAACAGCAGGAATCTGCAGCGAGGTGAACTCTTTGTGGATTTAACCAGGATTCCTGGACTGGTTTATACAAAAGAGGTGAACTCTTTGTGGATTTAACCAACATTCCCGGACTGGTTTATACAAAAGAGGTGAACTCTTTGTGGATTTAACCAGGGTTCCTGGACTGGTTTATACCAGTGGATTTAACCAGGATTCCTGGACTGGTTTGTACAGAAGGGGTTTGAACCCCGAGTCTCTTTGGAAGTCAGGTGTGGCTCCAGGGGAAATTAGCTTCTGATAGCTCCCAGGGGATGGGGAGGTGGGAAAGCCTGCAGGCAGAGACACAGGGGCTCTTCATTCCTCCTCCTGTCCTGCTCCTGCCCTGTCTGAGTGTGAAGATACGCTCAACAAGTGCTTGAGCAGAAAGCTGTTGTCAGCAGGTGAATTGCTTCCAATAATGAGAAATCCAGGGCTAGGCATGTAGGGAGCTTTTTGGCAGACCTGGGTGTTTTCTGTTACCTTCCTCACTGGAACTTCAGCAGAATGACTTGCTGTTACAGTCGTGGGGTGTGCAACTCCCTGCTTTTTGTTCTCATCCATCTTAAAGTATTTTGCCTCTAAGAGTAGGCAGATTTTCTTGTTAAAACTCTCTTCTCCAAGCTGGTCATGGAGAAAGGCACGTGGGACCTGCTGGGCTGCACAGAAGGGTCCGTCTTTGCTAGCACTTTAGTTTTGCTGCGATCCCAGGTGTTTCAAGGGAGCAGCGCTGTGCTTGCACGTGGATTTGTTTCCACGCCAGCTTTTCCTTCAGGCCAAGCTGTGGTTTAGTGAGAGGAGCTGCTCCAGTGTGGCAGGCACCCACGCAGGCACCAACGCTGGCTCCTCTGGCAAGGGCTTTTAGTGCCACCCTAAGCACGTTGCTCTGGACACAGGTATGGGGTGTCCTGCCACAGACACTGCAAAGATATCCACATCCCAAAGAGCTGGAGCTGGAAGGGGTACCTGAAGGCAGCACTAGATATGAAAAATCACTGTTGTCACACGAGTCAGGGAGAAAAGTGTTTCATTCCTCAGCCAGCAAACACCTCTTTTCACTTAATCGGTACAGAAAACGAGGCTAAGATCACATTTGCTCTTTACCTTTAAACTTGAGGCTGCCAGGGGGAGCAGAAATCATCCCCGAGCAGGCAGAGCGCTGGCACTCGGTGGTGTCCTCCCCGGCCAGGGGTCCTGCCTGGGGGAGCTGCTCCGGCCAGAGCAGGAAAGCTTCAAAATGGAGCATGAAAACAGCTGTTTGAGGTTGGATTGTGCCAGGCAGCGAGTGGCTCCAGCCTGGGTAACCACGAGGGGGGGGGGGGGGGGGGGGGGGGGGTGGATTTGGTGTCGCTGGCTTGTTTGCATTTAGCAAATCTTTTTGGAGCCTCCTGGCTGTTTGAGCGCGGGTGACACAGCCCACAAGTAAATGGCAGTCGGCGGCGTTTTGCAGCGGTCACATGGCTTTTGTTTGTGTTGGGATGGGAAAGCTTAGGAAGCAGGTTGGAAAAGCTTAGGGTCTTTTTTTGTTTGGATTTGTTTTTTTTTTTCTAAAAGGGAAACCCATTGTTTTGTGGGAGAGCCAGGGAGAGCCTTGTGCTTTCCGCTGCACCGCCAGACCAGGCAAAGCTTAAAAACCCTACTCAAATTTCTGTCTAGAAGTAGCATTTCTCGAGGGTTAAAATTAGCAAGCAATTTAGCAAAAGAATATATCCAGCCTCAACATAAGGCTGTGTTTCTTGGCTCTCGGGAAAGTGTGCTAGGCTCACGCTCCATTATTCACAATAGTAATGACGTAGCTTTAAAAACTTGTGGTTTGATGCTTGAGGACTAAGACCTGTCTCAAAACAAACTCAGCTGAACTCTGGTTAAGTAAAAAAGTTGTGCTTTCCACCTGTGGTATTGACTTTTAAATTGTCTGGCATGATGCCTTTGCTTGCTGAAGCAGCGAGGGTGATTTACCGCTCCACTTGGGATTTCTGTGTGCCTGTGGAAGCGCCCTTCAGCTCAGAAACGGTCTAGGAAAAGCATCTACTTGCGGTATATTTTCTAGATCTTATCTCTTCAAAATACACAGTTTTGTTTGGGAGGAATTGCTTTATATGGTGCTGCTCTTTGTCTTGTTGGGGGCTGGGGTGGGGAGTGCCGGGAGGGCGGTGGGGAACGCTGTGGACTGCTCTGCGAAGTGATTTGTAGGTGGGGGCACGAAGCCCTCAGGAAGACCTGGTCAATATTTTCCCTTGGGAAAAACCTCTGGGAAGAGACCCTGGGAGAACAACAGTAAACAGTAGCCGGCTCCTACACAGTGTCTGAAGGCATTTCTTCATCCGTCTGCAGCTGTTTTCCCCAGAAAAGCATCTTGGAGGAGGCACTTAGCTCAGCAGGAGGGGCTGTGGTTGACTCAGAGAGCATCGTCCTCTGTCAGAGCAGCTTGCCCTGTCCTGGGAAGGGGGGCAGCGTCACCAACAAAGAGCTGAAACTTGGAGAAAACCCTCAAGAGGACTCTTTCTCTGTCCCAGCTGAAAATGCTTGAGATGAGGCCCCCGAAGGGGATTTACTGGAGTGAAGTCCCAAATTCCTCCTGCCCGGGGATCCTTATATATTCCAGTCCCAGGAGTGCGATGCAGCAGAAATATCTCCTGCCTCTCCCCTGACAAAACAGAAGCAGCCAAGAGCTTTCTTTAGCCTGGGCTGCTCCAGTTTGTTATAATTTTTTTTTTTTTTTTTTTGAGGTGCCAGTTGTATATATTTAGTCTTGAGGCAGCCCCCTGCTCCATGTTTCCTCCTTGGGGCTCTTGCGAGAGGTCTCAGTGATTCTGAATTTTTGGAGCATCTGTAAATGAACTGCCTTTCACTGAATTTCACTGAATTTCTAGAGTTGGAAGGGACCATAGAGATCATCTAGTCCAACTCCCCTGCTGAAGCAGGGTTGCCTAGAGCTAGAGCATGTTACTCAGGACTACATCCAGGCGGGTTTTGAAAATCTCCAGAGAAGGGGACTCCACAACCTCCCTGGGCAGCCTGTTCCAGGGTTCCGTCACCCTCACCGTGAAGAAGTTTCTCCTCATATTTGAGTGGAACCTCTTATGTTCCAACTTGTGCCCGTTGCCCCTCGTCCTCTCGGTGGGAACCACTGAAAAGAGTCTGGCTCCCTCCTCCTTCAACCCTCCCTTGAGATACTTGTAGGCGTTGATAAGGTCTCCCCTCAGCCTTCTCTTCTCCAGACTAAAGAGTCCCAGCTCTCTCAGTCTCTCCTCATAAGGGAGATGCTCCAATCCCTGAATCATCTTTGTAGCCCTACGCTGGACTCTTTCTAGTAGTTCCCTGTCCCTCTTGAACTGGGGAGCCCAGAACTGGACACAGTACTCCAGTTGTGGCCT